AATCGTTACGGTTAATAACGCGAAAAGCTAAGAGGGTATACAGGGTGTCCCTAAGTCAACGATATCCTTTGAAGGACTGATAGGCCAACTCATGGCCAATCAGAAAAACTAAACATGACCTTGGTAAAAATCGCTAGTTTTTGAGATATTAGCATTTTTATTAATTTTGTAAAACGTAACACCTTAGATCGGTTTTCAAATGCCACAGCTACAAAATTCCATATTCTAAGATTCTATTTTATGTTGTACAACCCTCAATAGGCCTGCTATTGATTACAGTGCAAAAAAACAAATAGTACTTTTTTACCCATTGAAAACAATTTTGCCCGGTTTTATAACTTTTTTTATTAGCTAACTTTGACTGTTAAAAATGTAACACGCTAACATGGCAAGATATTTTAAAAATTTGATAATTAAGTTTAGTTTTTAAAATGGTATAACATTTAAAGAAAAATATACAGTGGCAGCTCGTGATCTATGATAAAAAAATTTGACAAATTTAGTGGCTATTTAAAAAAAAAAATTTAATTTTAGAAACTTATATTAAACTTTAAAATATGTATGTATTAAAGGAAGAATAAAATGCTAATTTATATTTTATCATTGAGTACAGTGTTTTAACGTAAAGTCCATTCTTCTGTCCTTATTTGCAGAAAACTTATCAATAACAGCCTCCATTACTCAGTAGTTACTTTATAAAATGGCTAAACGCAGGAACGCGCCACGAATTACGAATTAAACAAGGCTGTGGCAAACTGGTTTTGGAGCACACTAAATATGTGCGCGTTTCCGTATTAAAATTTGCGATTCCCCCGCCACCGGCAGGCTAAGAATATACCAACCCGGGGAACGAAACTAAAAACAAAACAAAATATCCAAAAATAGCGCCCAATATTATCTCTTGTGAAATAATAAAAAAGATATACAGGGTGTTTCTTTTAACTTGAGACAGCTCAATATCTCGAGAAATACGCATTTCACGGAAAAATGTCTTAAATAAAAGGTTAATGTGACCAAAGGGGACATTATTTGGTGCTACCGCTAGCCACCCCCTACCCCTCTTTAAGGGTGAAACGGGGGGTAACTTTGTAAAGTCAAATGGAATGACCCGATTTTTGTTACAGAGTTTGGTAGTACATAAAAAAATGAATAACTTTTATTTGAAAGTTTTTTTCAATATATTAACAGATGGCGCTGTAATTCAAAATTTAAGAAAAAGGGGTTTCCTTGTAAAATGTATTATTTGAAATGTTTGAAAAACAAAAATTAACATTAAATCAACAATAGTCGGCTCTGAAAACAATTTATAACAAATGTTCGAAATGTGCGGCGATACCGCCCGATATGTTGGCGCGTTGTGTGCCAGAATTCATTACCCGCATTCAAAAATGTGTTGAAATGGAATGACGACATTTAGAACATTTGTTATAAATTGTTTTCATAGCCGACTATTGTTGTTAATGTTAATTTTTGTTTTTCAAACGTTTCAAATAATACATTTTACAAGGAAACTCATTTTTCTTAAATTTTGAATTACAGCGCCATCTGTTGATAAATTGAAAAAAGTTTTAAATAAAACTTATTTATTTTTTTATGTACTACCAAACTCTGTGAAAAAAATCGGGTCATTCCATTTGACTTTCCAAAGTTACCCCCCGTTTCACCCTTAAGGAGGGGTAGGGGGTGGCTAGCCGTAGCACCAAATAATGTCCCCTTTAGTCACATTAACCTTTTATTTAAGACATTTTTCCGTGAAATGCTTATTTCTCGAGATATTGAGCTGTCTCAAGTTAAAAGAAACACCCTGTATATTTTACATATTCAAAAAATATTGACAAAAACAAGAAAAATTTTGCATCATGTGTAAAACATAATATTATATATGCTAAAAAAAATATTATAATATATATATAAATATATGTATAAATTAGGGTGTCATTTTTAGGCGATATTTTTTTTTTCGCTGTTATACCAGAAAATCTAATACTTTATAGAAAATAAAAAATTATGCCGCCGGGTAAAAGGTTCTAAGTGCAATAGCGGCTTAGCTCATTTAAAAATTCAATTTCCCATTGAAATAACACAGAAATTTTTTTTTGTTCGTTTTAAGACCGTATAACCAGTAGTTTCAGAGTTATAGCGCTGGAAATATAAACTTTTATAAAAAAAGACCACAAATTCCATTTTATTTTTCTTCGAGCAAAGGAATGATTTTGTAGAGAATTTAATTTCCTACAAAAGCTATAAAAAAGTTTTTAGGGAAAAAAGTTTTTAACAGCGAAAAATCTAATTAAAACAAACAAAAAAAAATTTCTGTGTTATTTCAATGGGAAATTGAATTTTTAAATGAGCTAAGCCGCTATTGCACTTAGAACCTTTTACCCGGCGGCATATTTTTTTATTTTCTATAAAGTATTAGATTTTCTGGTATAACAGCGAAAAAAAAAATGTCACCTAAAAATGACACACCCTAGTATAAATAGTATGAGGCGCCGTTTGTGCTATAATTAAACTCTCCAATAATTTTGAATATATGTTTATTTTTTACCAAATATATATTTATTTTTTACTTTATATCGATTTGTATTTTATATTTTATTATATGTTTTTTATATATATATTTATTTTTTAAATATATATTTAAATGCACAATATATTTGTATTTGCTTTTATGAAATTCGACTTCACCATTTGATCGCTAGAGGCGCTACTCAACTTATTAAATGTGGCAAAGCTGTAGCAAGGGCTGCACCCAATTAGCCAATAGGAGCTTTTGTTTACGAATTGAAATAACGGTTTGTTCTGCAAGGTTTCTGCGTGGTTAAAAAAATTTACCTAGTGTTTTAAATTATTAATAAAACGGAATATTGCGAGTATCTACGTGTCTCCCTAAATAAAACCATACAACGGCGGTTTAAAAGGCGCTTTAAATCCAAGATACCTACACCGATAGAACATACACTTAAATTAAATCTTTGTATCATAAAATAATGAGAACACAGGGAAAACAATGTTTACCGTTATTTTAAATTAGTAAACAAAACCTCCCATTGGCTAATTCGGTGAGGCACTAGCTACAGCGTTGACACATTTGATAAGTTGAGCAGCGCCTCTAGCGATCAACGGGTGAAGTCGAATTTTATAAATATATATATATATATATATATTTTTTTTTTGTAAAAAATACATAAATATGCAAAATTAAATATATATAGGAAAGATTAATTATGGCACAAACGGCGCCTCATAAAATAGGTCCTACATATATACATATGTTTAAATATATTTAAAATATTTTATCCTTTTTGAATTATTGGATCTAAAATTTGCTGTATTAAAAAAAAGAGTTGTTTGATGGCCTAGTTTTTTTGCCAAAGATTATGCAAACCCAATAATTTAAAAAAAGACAAAAGTCTTAGAATCTGTACAGTATGTTGAATGGTGAATGAATCAAGGGGGTGGTAGGTGGAAACATGCGTCAGAAAACGCCCCCTAGAGTCTACTACTGCACGTGCGTGAGGTTAGATATCTGTCACTGACACTCGAATTGAGGTTAGGTATTTGTCACTTTCAGTTAAATTAAGGTAATGTATATGTTACTTAGTAGAATTGAATTCAGTAGGGGGCGTTTCCAAACACATCTCCCTAGGACCAAAAATGCTTGTCTCGGCGTAGTCTACCACCTCCCTGATTTTAAACTTAAGTTTAACCGGTTGATGTCATCAACTCTAACCGGAAGAGAAGGGAATCATCAACTTGATGATTCCCTTCTCTTCCATCTTTAACCGGCTATAGATAGTTTTAACTAAAGCTAGTCGGTTAAGTTAGGTTAAGCATAAAAAATATATTGTAGCTACACTAGTGTAATAAATAATAAAAGTATACCATGGGTAAAATCCATTAATTTATTTATAAAATTTAGTGGTTTGTAAAAAGTGATTCAAAATCCAAATTTCGGATTTCAAATGACATAAATAAAATATGACATATTTCTAAAATGGTATATCACAATTGAATAGGCATGAACGAACCTAATAACCCAACCCAACCTCACCTAACAAAATTACTGTATAAGAATATTAACCGACTATACCCTATCAATTTAAGCTATAAAGCCCAGCAAAACGATTTATCAATTAACAACATTTACAAAATGCAAATGTTTTAATTGTTAAAATTGTTTTTTCTACGACCACTATGTAAAAGTCACTTTTCATGATGGCATCGTTGCTTAGAAAATGAATCTTTTCATTGGCAAGGCAAAACACGAATGTAAAGTGACATCTCTGTGTGAAAAGTGACAGGTCTGTGGGAAAAGAACCGGAAAGCATCGTTTGACATTCAGCTGTCAAAAAAGTTTTTAGGTTATTTTGTTTTGTATTTAAAAATAAAAGGGTCGCAGAAAAAACATTGTGTTATACTTGTGAGAAAAGCTTTCATCAAGCTCGTGTTAATGCACACTCGGCCTAACGGCCTCGTGAGCAACTTAAAAACTCGCATGAAAAAGTCGCTTTTCAACACTTGTAAAACAAATAACTATTGCTGGGCTTTACTGCTTAAATGGATGGATTATAGAATTGGTTAGACATAGCTTTAGCCGGTTAAAAATTAAGGGGAATTCTTCGGACTTTAGTCGCAAAGCCTGGGTAGTTATTCTTACTTCTATGACATATATATTTTAAATTAAGTAATTTAATGAGACACGTGTTCAACATAAAATATTTGTGTGCTGTTTATGGTGTTTTTAACTTTACTATGAATTAAATTAAAAAGCACTAAATTAAATATATTTTGGAAATAAATTGTATTGAAATTACGAAAGCAATAAATGGTGCTAACGGGTTTGGATATTTACTAATTATTTTTCTTATACGGTCTGTTTTAATTTAGTTACATTATATCCATACATATCAACCATTTGCATGCTTATAGATTTGTTTCCCTGAACACAACTGAATTAATTTATAAATGTTAAATTTAATTATTAAACTTTGCAATAGATTCTCGAAAGTTTGGGTGTTGGCAATCTGTTTCGCGACAACTCAGACTTTTCTTCACTAACTACAAAAAAAATCACTGTGGCTGAAGGTGTGCATAAAGCCAGAATCGACATAAATGAAATAGGTTCTCAAGCAGCAGCAGCTACGGCCATTTTTAGCTGGAGAATGGGCGACGAGGATGAGGTTTTACAATTTATATGCAATAGTCCATTTATTTATTTTATTTATAATAAAAAATCACACACCGTCTTATTTTCCGGTATATTTAGAAAAAAAAATATTTAATTAGGATAAGAAATTATTAAAACCATCATACATATTGTCTATTGGATTTATAAGAATAAAAAACTACAAACTAAATTTGTCGTTATTTTTATCTTATGCAAGAATTGATCGATTATATAATAATAATAATAATATAATAATTACTTAAAATTTTTTACAATATATACATTGATAAAAACCACATAATACCGCCACATTTTTCAACCGTCGCGACATTTTGAATTTTTTCTATTCCCACCTTTAAAATTCCCTTTATCGTACATGTTTCCAAGACACTAAGTGACCTTTTAAATACACATTGACAAGTTGTGGCTTTATGGCGTTTTAGTCACGGGCTGAAGTTAGCAACAGGTTTTTAATCACGGGCTGAAATTAGTTTTAAGTTAGTTAACAGTTGTTATATGCTACAATCGTTAAAATAAAGTGCCCTTCTTGTAAAATCATACTAAATGTAAAATTATTGTATTATCTCAATACAAAAAAACAAAAATATTAAATAGTTTCTTAATGTCAATAATTGAAAAATTCATATGAATATTGTAATTTTGCCGGCAGTAGACTAGATTTAGCTTAATTTCAGGTGAAGACTCCTCCCTGGAGTGCCCATTAAACATTTTCTTTACTTTCACTGAGAAAAACTGCTTTTATATCGGATTTAAACAGTCCATTTTTTAAGGGATACATTTCGATTTAGACATAAAAATTTGACATTTTCACCGGCGCACCGGTAATACAGATTCCCAAGAAGGTTACTCTATTGGTTTATAGATATCGCTCTAAACAAATATTTAATTGAAATTATTTTTAGATAATAATAAGTATTTGTCGTAGAAAAAGTATGGTATGCAACTCGTTTATAAAGTTTTCTAGACACTCATTTAATTAAGCACTCGCTCGTAAGCTCCCTTGTGCCTACATTAAAATCCTGACCAAAATGGCGTTTATCAAACTTGATACATATATTAATAATAAGTTTTATTATATCTTTAAACTATAACTATATTATATTATTATTAAATTATATTATAAAGGTAGAATGGTATTCGTATACGAATAGCTATAGCTGAAATGGATGTAGATTTTAAAAATTAATTTTCGAATTTAATAAAGAAAAATGTTGCTTTTTATTACATAAATTAGTTTTTTATTTATTCTAATAAGATTTTTAAATTTTAAATATTAAGAATGAAAATACGAAAATAAAATATACTTAGTAAAATTGTTAACTAGGGAAAATATACACTACAGGCCCAGGCGGCAAAGTTTTAAAGATAACTGAAATATAAAATTTCAGCTGGGGGCCCTAGAGCCTTCCTGTAGGGGGGGCCAGGCGGCAACAGCGCATTTGCCGCCCGTTAAATCCGCCACTGGACAACATAGAATATAATAAAAATTAACCTTCTAGAGATATTAGTAAAATTGAAAACAAAAATCTAAACCAGGTATTTTACTGTCTTCTTTTTTGCATTCATTAGGCAGTTGAAATAATATTCACGTTCGAGTGTTCGTCAAAGTTAGTCGCATCTTACATCTTGCCGTCGCGCTCTTGAAACTTACAAACAGCAATGCTCGCGACTCGCGTGCGGGAGATCTCTTGAAACGTAAAAGTTTAAAGATGAAACCAACAATAATTTAAAAAAAAAGGGGTGCGAACTGATAAGTGAAACAAACATTTTCATGGAGTGCAAGCTAAAATGGTGTAACGGTCATTGAGGAGCGGAGTGTTGGGTGATATGAATGACTTGGGTGCCACCTGTCATTGGAGGCTTATCACTGGACGGACGGGGGAGGTCGGAGAAGAGGGGAGGTGGCCATCCGCAAGGGGAAAAATCTGATAAGTTTTACTTTAAGAGTATGCATGACCTGATACAAATCTGCAATATAAATACGGCAGATCCCAACAAGCATTTTCCGTTATTTGACACCATTAACATTGCCCGTATTCATTTCATTAAACATAACATTTATTTTACTTGAAAATGTTAAAATGACTTTAAAAATGATTATGTTAAGAACATATTTTACTCTTTAAACAATTGTTTTGTTTTAATTACTATCATTGCAAAATTGTATTAAAAAGTGTTAAAAATTCTTACACGGGCAATGTTAGTGGGGATAGGTATCGTTAAAGTGTTTATTGGGATATCTTTAAAACCTAAGAAGGGCACGCAGCGTGGGGCAATAAGTCTGTCAACAGCAAATGCGTAAGGCGGTCCCAATCGAGCCGGAAAATAAACACTGGACTGACAGAGTAAACTAACATTGAACAAAATTCTAACACATTAAAAAAAGGGCCTAATAGCCAAACTCGAGTTTGTAAACATTAGACAACAGAATAATCGCGCTTGTGATTTGTTTGACTAGTGAATAAATGCAATGCTTTGGAATTTGATAAACAAAGACGGAACTCTACCACAAAACGTGCTTGGGACAAAAATTATTAAAAACAACTGACACACTTTACCAAGGGCAGGAACTATCTGACCAGGACACGGACAATGACAATAACGAACAAGACAAAGACATCGACTAGGAAACTACACCCCTGCAGCGAAATAACAACTCCCCAACTCCAAATAGTGATCCCAAATGTTTGGAGTAATACTAATCGACTGGTCTAGGGGGATTCCGCGTCGTACTTAGTTTTAAGTCGGCGTAATTGTCCCCCAAAAACCAACTCCCTCCCGTCCCTCATCCATACCCCACCGAGCGTATAGCATAGGCTCGGCGAACCCGGGAATGGCTATTATAACTATTCGCCTCTCGCTCTCGAGCCCCAAATAGGGGACAGTACGTAACGCAATGGACATTCGCACCCAGCAAACACGGGTGAAGCCGTGCAGTTGCTGGGGAAGAACAAAAATCGGCGTAAGTAAACATAGGCCTGTACGGGGTTCGAGAGTCAAGAGGAAATGGGGCTGGTTATACGTCTCTTATACTCATACTCATTAGGCAGTTGAAATAAGGGTTAGATGAACAGATTATGATTTTATTAATTATGACTGAAAAGTACAGTCAAACTCAGATTTGGACTGCAGTATTTAAAGAACTAACGCAGAAGTTTAAAAAATTTATTGTACATAAAAAATATAATGTAGGTATAATGTATATTATACATTAGTAATAAGAATATTAATTGTAATATTAATTCCTTAACAATTACAAAAAAAAAAAAATTAAAGTAAAAATACATACCAAGAAATATGCCAACCTGCACAATACAGGTACAAATTTTGTACGTGAAAAATGTACATAAAAACATAGGTACACTTACATTAAAAGACTTTTAATAAAAGTTTGTATAACAAATAAGACATTTAAAACACTAAAACTTAATTAAGTTGAGTTAAGCTAGAAGGAAAAACTTTTATTATTTTAACCCTTTGTTACTACTGGTTCAAAGTAAACCCAATATTTATAACAGGTTATCTCTGATGAAAGCAAGTCGAACTTCGACCATATTTGTTATATGAGTTCGACTGTCCAACACATCATGCCTATGCGTTACGAAAAGCTATTTACATACCATGGGAGAAAAATAGTGCTTTTCCTCCCGCGAATAGTTTGATGCCCGACGCGAAGCGAAGGGCATTAAATATTCAAGGGAGGAAACGCATTTTCCTCCTGAGGTATGTATATAGTTTTTTTATTACCTTTTATCGGTTTTAAGACATTTTAAGCGTTCCTGTTCCTTTTACTAATCCGGTATGGGGCTATAAAATTATGACAAAATATTAAGTAGGTGTTGCGTTGCCGACGTTATGTTGACAACGCTTTGTTGCTATGGTATTTTTGGTAATACAAACATAACAGTTGTTATAAGCTGTCAGAATGTTTATCATAAATTTGAAATTCTTCCTACATTTTGAAAATGAGTTCTAGCGAAGAAGACCTGCCGCAAGATCTTGCTGAAGAGGCAAGAATAGTTGCAATTAATTTCCTTCCTTAAAAATCGAAAGAGCGATATGAAAATGAATATAGTTTGTTCAAAGAATGATTGGACAAGCGCGGTGTAAATCTTTTTCCTGCAAAATCAAATAGGGCTAGACAAGGTACAAAAACTCTTGCTAATGTAAAATTGTTAAAAAAGAGGGAGGAAATTTTTTTTCCTCCCGGGGAGGAAAAGAGGCATTTTCCTCCCTCGCTGGGGGGTGGAAAATTAAGTTTTCCAGTATGGTAGTAGAGAAAATTATAATTATCCCCGGGAGGAAAAAAAATATTGTTAGTTATTACACCTTATGTTATCAACAAGTGACGTGTTTGTACAGTTGTATTCATTAAAAAAGCGTACAAGAATTAGAATGAGAGAAAACTGTCAACATTATTGCGTAAAACTGGCTTTCCACTGACTTAAGTCACTATAACTGACAGTAGAAAATAAAAATGCCTCGTCAGTTATCTCAAGTTAAAAAGGCTCAAATAGTATCAACAATCGAAGAAGAATGGTCAATTCGTGCTGTGGCGAAGTTGTATAATAGAAATAAAAAATCTATATTAAAAATTAAGCAACGCTGGGAACAGGAAGATTTACTAAACCAAAAAGTTACTTCAGGTCGTCCCAAAATGTCCACCCCTGAACAGGATGCTGCTTTTTTGGGATATTTAAGAAATAATCCATATATGCAGTCCATCCCAAATAGATTGGCTCAAGTAATAGAAAAACAGGGATACATGACTAAATATAAAAAAAAATTAATGTTTGTTTTTTTTAATTTCTAATAGGTAATAATTTTTGTAATATTATTTAATTAACCTACGACGTCAATGTTTTTTATAACCTATAGTAATTATTTTAATGACTTATGTCAGTGATAAGCTGGTTTTAAGCAATAATATTATTGGGAAACCCAACTCAATTGATTTATTGTAAACATTGCTTCTGTGTTGTTATAAGCCTTATAAGGGGACATCCATTAATTACGTGAGATCAAAATGGGGGGGAGAAGTCTAACAAAATCTCATGTTATGGGAGGGGGGGTCATTAAAAATCTCACCTCAAC